ATATGAAAAAGATAAGTTCGATTTTAGTGGAAAAAAACAAATACTCAGGAAAGTTAATTTTCATAGAAGCAGGAGACTAGCTTCTGTGTCTGAAGAGGTAAATTCCGTAGAAATTAGTTATCCCACAAAATTTTAAAGAAGCACGAAAATCAGTAAATGCCGAAGAACGGGATAAGGCAAGTGAAAGAAAAATTCGACACAATGAAGAAAAGAAAGGTTTGGGAATTAGTCGAAAAGCCAGAAACTAAAACTATAATAGGAAACAAATGGGTCTCTATATGCTAAAAAGAAATGAAAAGAATCAAGTGGTTAGATACAAAGCACGTTTAGTAGCACAGGGATTCAGGCAGAAAAGAGGTGAAGATTTTGATGACGTTTACAGTCCTGTAGTAAATTTTTTAATCATAAGAATATTTTTCACTATCCTGGTATGTTTATATGGATGGACTAATTGTCAGTTAGATGTAAAGAGCACATGTTTATATCCAAACCTAAATGAGAAAATATATATGACCCAACCAAAGGGATTTATCGAAGAGAAAAATAAAGTGTGTTTATTACACAAGGCCATTTACGGTCTACATCAAATTGGCCGTGAATGGTTTTGTGAATTTGAAAGTACTTTAGAAAATCTAAATTTTAAGAAAATACAATGGTGTAATTGTGTTTATAAGGGTTCAAATGTAATTCTCTTGTTATATGTAGATGATATTGTGATTTTTAGTAAAGATCAATATAGTATAGATAAAGTAATTTCACATCTGTGTAAGTTTTTTGATCTTAAAGTATTAGGCAAAACTAAAACATTACTTGGAATTGAATTCTTAGAGAATGAGAATGGGGTTTTTCTACATCAGCAAAAATATATCGAAGAAATTTTTGAAAAATTTAAACATTTCCAGATACCAATAACTTCACTTCCCATAGCTAAGGGCACTGTTCTTACAAAATTAGATTGTCCATCTACAAATGCAGAAATTGCGGAAATTAATACATTACCCTTTAGAAATCTGTTAGGATGTTTAGTTTTTGTAGCTAACAGGACAAGGCCTAATATTACAATTTCAGTGAATATCTTATCACAATTTCAGGAGAATCCTGGAATTAGGCATTGGGAAGCATTGTTGAAATTGCTTGGTTATCTCAATAGTACTAAATTATATAAATTAAACTTATCGAAGATTAAACATCTAAATTTGTATTGTTATTCAGATGCTGATTATGCAAGTAATAGAGATGACCGCGTATCCATGGAAGCGGAGTATATCGCCTTATCTGAAGCAACGAAGGAATTAATGTGGACGAAAAATGTCTTACAAGATGAAATTTTAAAGTTTAATTTAAGAGAGTGTAAACTATTTTGTGATAATAAGTCTGCCATTGATTTTTCTAGATCGCCAATAGAAAATCGCTGAACTAAGCACATAGACGTAAAATATCACTTTGTTAGAAGACTAGTAAATGATGGAGTGTTTGACCTTGAATTTATCACCAGTAAATTAAATACTGCCGACTTATTTACAAAAGCAGCAACTGCTGTTAATTTAAGAAAGTTTTGTTTAGATGTTTTCAGTGTTTAAAGACAATAAATGTTTTCGTATAATGGAATTGAACTATGAACTTCTGTGCAAGTTTTGTTTTTGTCTTTGCATGAGGAAAAGAGGGCTGTTTGGTGGCTTTAGTTTTCCACATGCAAATTTTGATCGGAGGACAATCGGCGGCAAGGTTCTTTAATATACTAAGGTTAGGCCAGGAACGGAAAAAGCGTGCCATTGGTTGCTGGTAGTGACGTCACCCGGGAGACAAGATGCATCGGCCGACGCGTCTGCTACATGATTTTGGTAATGGAAAAAATGTAAACTAAAGCAAAATGATCATTTTATATGTGGTAGATACACCGGAAATACCGGGTATATACTTTCCGATTAAGTATTTTGTTAAAGAAAATGTTTATTTTATGCACAGAATTCGTACGAATGCTGAAAATAATTGTAAACATTAAATTCTTCTCGTAAAGGAAAGCATTAGAAAATGAAAAACGATATTTAAGTTAATTAAGGGAAATAAATATTGTAAAACAAGGTATTTTTCAATATTTTTTTGTAGTATTGTTTGCACTAAATAAATCTTGTTGAAAAGAACACATGATGGCATAACTGCTAAGACCATGGTAAAAACATAATCAAAAAGTATTATTCTATTTATTTTCATTGCTCATGCACCTTTTTTTTAATACAAATGAAACTTTGACATTCCATGAGAAATATATGATCGTGTTTTTCAGTTTAAATTACATATCTCAAGCAAAAAATCTATATAAAAAGATTTGAATTTAACAAATTCATATTTAAATACCACAAAATTCTACAAATTTCTTAATATCACGTCATTATACTTTTAAATAGTATACTTATCGCATTCTTTTTAAAGTGAAAAGTCACTTCATTACTGATTCACTTCAGATTTTTTAGCAGAAGTGCATATATTTTCAGTATAATCTAAAAGTACTATTATAATCCCTTACACTCCCAAGATTTCTATATAACATTTATCCTGGACGTGATTATTTGCTATAGTAAATAATCTTCGATATTGGCATCCTATTCTTCCCTTCCATACAATTAAAAATGGAACAATAACTAAAATACATTTTCTTACACATATACGCACAATAATAATAATAATAAACTTGCCCTACATCTTAGTTTTGGCCCACCAGCGGCCGAGCGGTAAAGTCGCTGAACACTGGTAGTTCGGTCCGAATCCCGCGAACGGGCTGGCTGCATGGGCATTTTCGTGGTTTTCCCTCATGTGTAACGTGTATACGAGCCAGTTTCCCTAGAAAGTCCTCCACGAAGGCATCACACCTATTACGCAGATAGCCCTAGTGTGCTTTGCCATAATTAAATACACCACCACATCTTAATTTCAATTCAGTCTGTACACAAATTAAATATTTTTAATTACTAATGTATTTTTATCAGGTTGTTTCGTAAAATACTTTTGTTATACTCGAAATATGTGTTCAATATTGAATTATTTTTCTTTTTCTTATAATTAAAAACAAGTTATATGGAATTAAAATTAAAATATATGCAGCAGTTAAATAACACTGAACAGAATGTTTTACTTAACTCTTTCGCTATTTTGTATTCCTAGCATTATACACAGATTTTTTTTCCCTTCAGGGTTTCAAGCATGTGTAAGTTTACTTAGTCAATATCAATTAACACCACATCAGACCTATGCATCAGTTAAGGGGACACTGAAGGAAATATGTCACTCACTCATTCGAATGTTTGCATCATAGTGTGGTCGAGAAATTGTTCTTTTCCTCATGGTGAAGGAATGTATCAGTTTACTTAGTTCGCAAAGCTTAACCCAGACGCTGCTTCAATACATAGAATTACGTTTGGGATGTAAAGAAAGTAACCAAAACATGTGAATGAAGTTGGATACGCGAATTTATTAACTAATCATTCAGGTACTCAGTTTTGTTAAACATGACACTGAATTTAAATATCTCACTACGATGTAAGTCTCATACACAAAATGAAGATTATGATAAAAAATGATTTAAAATGAGAAATTTTTTCAATTTAAATGTAAAATAGCAGTAAAATGAAAAATAAATGTAAAATTACATCACAGTTATGTATGAAAACTACATAAATTCATTAAAAAATAGTTATTTTATCTGGTTGTAAAGAGTGTTTTCCGCCAAAAAACGTATTAACGTGTATAATTCTGACACAACGCTATAGCACAATTTGCCACTTCCGCCTAGGTATAATAGCAAATTAACAACACAAATCAAATCAAACTGTTGATGCAACGAAAGTAAACAAACGCCAAGAACTAACGCTGTCACCCACATGACGTCATGCGTATGTGGCATAACTTTCTCCCTGCACTGCGCATCGCTCTTGGGCCCCCCCCTGAATCGGCGGTAAGCTAACGTGGTTGCCGCTGATTGGCCGATGACGTCAAGATCGGCGGGTTGGCCGAGTATAATATATATGTACGCCGGTATCGGTGAATGTTCTTGTTCTCTTGTGTGATTATCAGTTAGCATTATGCTAGTTTGCTTTCAATCAAATTATTTTAAATGTAAAGGCTACAGTGTTAGCTCTTTTATTTTATTTACGGAATAAAGCATGAATTTTATTTAGTTTAATCTTAGCTTTATTTAAGGGAAGCAAAATATGCTTTGCCTTTATCACCTTTGACCATTTTTTACTCAGTGTGCTATACATTAAATCTGCAGTCGGCATATTTATTACAATATAAAGTGCTTATGATTTGTGTCACACCAAAATACCTAAAATATAAAACATTTTTCCACAATTAAATGATTTCCCGAATTTCTTGTATTCTGGCCTAACTAATTTTTCAGAGATTAAATTTCTATTAAATCTATTTAACTATTCATTTTTCTATTTAACCATTTCCATTAGTTTATTTATTTTTTCTATTATTTTTCCATTAGTTCTATTTAACTATACATTTTAATTTACTGTATTAATATCCAAAATATACATATTTTGTTTGTTATTTCTTCATTCATTATTTAAATTTTTGTTGTATGAATCTATGGAAAATTTTCTACATTTTTAAAACTGCATTTTGGAAATTTTGAAAGCTGCCTGATAATGCTGTATCACTAAATCGCATTACATTTACAATTTTTAACCATTTATCAATTGAACATTAGCAGTTAATTCTTTTACTGTTATGTATTTCTAGATGAGTAGATTCACATATAGTTTTTTTCAGGAAAACTGAGAGTTCAAGATTGGAAAATGTCCTTTGTTAAATTAGAACCATGAGAGCAATTGTCATATGACCAATTGTTCTTAAACAAATATTTTGTCATGCGTTCTTTCCAACTTAGTAAAAAAAGAGATCCAAAGAACAATATCCCCTTTCACTATGAAATCATAAAACAATAAAATAAAAAACATAAAACTTCTATTAATATTATGGCAAAGTGGATGACTATGTATCAGATATTACATAAATTTAAAAGAAGGCAACTCACTACAAAGGGCAAGCCGAAGTCCAACTTCTACATTTTTAATGCAAGGTTGTAGAACGCCAGGAGTGTCATATAAATAGATAAGTGGTTCATCTGATATCTAGAAAGGCATTTTTGAACATAATAATTATTTCAAACAAAATTCATTTGCTTTTATTCTAGATAAAAATTTTTTACAGGAATTAAAATCCCAAACTTTATTTAAGCTGCAATTATTATTTAAAAATGCAATTTTTGAATTCGAAATGCAAGTCAATGAATTGAAAGTATAAGAAGAATAAAAATGGAATAAAAGTAACAAAATTAAACACTTATTACAAATAAAAGAAAATAAACTTTCAAATATGTCTTTAATGTCCAACTAATTCGTGCATATAAAAAATAATTATATATAAAACTGTTTCTAGTTAGTTGGCAGATTTCAAAACTAACAGTTTATTCAATTAAAATATGTCTCAGTAATTCATTTTTGATTTGAAACTTTAAAGTTTACATTTTAAAAAGTTCAAACTATTTATTCAAATAAAGCCAAAAGATTTAAAATATCAAAATTAAATTTATCAAGAAATTTTGCTAACTTTTTTCTTCAGATTATGACAACTGATCAAAGTTATTACAACTAGTCTTTTTTTTTTTTTTTTTTTTTCCCCTCCAATATGTTACTTTAAAAAAAAGGTAGAATAAAGCCTTCTGAAACCAATTTGTTTCAGATTATAGCAGAATTGTATTTCCAACAGTTCATATTAAAAAATATATTGGGGATACAAACTAATTCACAACTCTCCTAAGTAAATAAGCGTGACTTTATTTTTAAACTTGCATTTTTTACCCACTATGCGAATGATTATCGTGTTGAAAAAAAAAGAGGAAAAAAAATTAATAAATAAAACTGGTGACAATACAACTTTACAAAATAGTACTCAACGTAAAATGCTAGCATATCAGAAGTAGCAATGTTTTTTAATTTCAAATGAAAAACATGCTCATCATGATAAAAAAATTATTCTGTTTTGGGGTATAGCTTTTCAGGCTGCCTGGTATTAAATACATGAATAAAAATAAAATTAACTTTTGGTTATTTAAAACCGCAACTGATATATTAAAATTATGAACTTGTGGTAAAAAGACTATTTAATACCAGTAACCAGAATTTATTTAATACCAGTTACTTAAGAGCGTAGGGTAAACATTACAGCATTTCTAAATCAAAACTTACAGGAGTGTTTTACCGCATACCTACAACATCAAGTCCAGAGTAAGTGTAATCTGGCGATGTCTGTCTGCTTTCTCCTCTCCTCGAGATGCAAGCCCACCAGTGGCCGAGCGGTAAAGTCACTGAATACTGGTAGTTCGGTCTGAGGTTCGAATCCCACGAACAGGCTGGCTGCATGGGTGATTTCGTGGTTTTCCCACGTGTATGAATCCATTGTGTATACGAGCATACACAATGGATTCATACACGTGGGAAAACCACAAAATACTTCCCATTGTGTATATGAGCCACTTAGAAAGGTCCTCCACGAAGGCAACCCTCCCGTTAGGCATATAATCCTTGAGGCTTTGCCGTAATTAAATAACCTAACCTAACCTAACCTCAAGATGCATCACTTGTTCTCCTATGTCTTAAATCTGAGGCGCACCTTTCAAGAAATATAGTCTTGTGAGATCGCTATAGAACAACTAACAACTTATAGAACTAAACAACTTATAGTGCCCCAAATGATAAAAGCATTACAGATGTCATACATTCTATTGCTAAAGTTTTCTCTTATGCAGCCCATTTAAATTACTGCTTTTTTCCCTCCTCTTGAAAACATCTTATCAATGTTTTTACCTTGAACAATATATGGCTTACTCCTGCAGATGATAAAGAAAAGATTACTGATTTTGTTGACTCAAGATTGCCATCTTTATTTCAAAAGTGGCTACATCTTTGCCAAATAGAAGAAATAAAGATGTAAAAAGTGATTGCAAATATTTTTTAATTGGAATACATTTTAGCCTTTTGTATATAAGTAACAACTTTTTAAAAACATGCAACATTGAATTTATTATATATGCTAAAAAATCAAAATACTAGACATACCAGGTAGTATATACTCATCCACCTTTAGCTTTGATTACAGCTGATTAATCTTCTGAGCATGAACTCAGCTCTGATATTGTTCTGATGAAGAAATATTAGTTCATACTGACATTTAGATGTACTGCAGTTCAGATTTTATTCAGACGGGATGTCAGCTTTTCCAAACTTTGAAACAATTTTTTCCAATTGATCTCACATATGTTAAATATAACTCAGATCAAAGGTCTGAACAAGCTATGGAAGTATTTTGAACTCGAAATCATGCTCTTCAAACCAAACTGAGATTAATCAGGCATGCTGGCAAGGTATACTGTCCTGCTGAAAATGACAATTTGCATGAAGAAGCATAGCAGCCATAAATGAGTGTAATGATCAATAATGTTACTGAAGTAAACTGTGGTGTGTGAGTTATTTCTAGACATATTAAGGGACTTACTGCACACCAGAAAGATTCATACATTCTGATTCTCTGCACTTACCATGAAAATAACTAAGGAGTATTAGTGACAAGATTATTGCTTCCAGATTATATATATGTAAGATAAAAAAATATGAAAGTAAACTTCTAAATTTAATTGGCTAGAACCTCTTTTATTTTTTATTTAATTCAGGGACTTTCTTTCTCTGTCTTAAAAATAGCTCTATAAATCTAAACTGCGTCATTCAAATTAATCATAAGACCTTACATAACCCTTAATGCAGATATCTCTTGCCCAATTGAAGTAATTTGTAAACCAAAACATTTTTTGACATCCTCTCTTCTTCCTCTGAAGTACTGCGTTTTTCTCTGTTCACTGGGCATTTGCACTTCTGTATTTATCAGGAGATTACTTTCATTCTGTAAACACTATGATTACTTTTTTTGAAGCATTTGCAAAACACCACAGTAGAAGGATGATAGGTTATTTTTTAAACACTGAAAAAAAAAAAAAACAAATTTGATGATTTACTTCCTTCACATTACCTTTGAATTTATCACAAAACAATGATTTGAAGAGATGAATAAATTTCCCATTGTGGTCTCAGGCTGCAGGTACTACCAGCTGGAAAAGACGGAGCAGTGTGACGCGCTGATTACATAGTATGCTGATATGTTGACTTAATAATATCTAAAAAACTTGGCAGTTTTAATTCCATTTTTATTTCCAGTTGGCATTTGTGGCCACAATCACTTGGCACTCTAGTCATGCCTATTCATAGAATATTTACATTTTTTATACTTTTGATATAGGAAGCGAGCACAGTGAAACAGAGACCAAGCACCACAGAAGCTCAAGGTAAAGTGCATAGTTATATGCAAGATGGAAGCACGCAATTTCAGAAAGATTTTGGTTTGAGTTAAAAGGTTCAATTCCCAATCGTTACATCATCAGCACTATGCAGGCCATGCAAAATGGAATTATCTAGAAATGATGCAAAGAAATTATTATGATTTTTAGAACAGAGATGATTTTTATCTTACATATCCCCCTCTTCAAAGAGAAAAAGGCCTGGTGACAGAAAACGCTTTTTAGAAAAAAACATTACAGAATTGGCAAAAACAAGGAAAAATACAATTGTGGGGGGGGAATCATAGAGTTAGATATAAATAAATTTTAAAAAATTAAAAAAATTTGTAGATATAATTTTTTGCAATAAATTCAAATTGAAAATTCTATTGAAATTTAAAAGTCTTCAAGTTAATTTTTCTAAAAAACATTGTAAGGAATGTCCTAATTTTTTCAAGAAATATTGGAAAAGTTCACAGTTCTGTAAAATCTTTGCTTGAATATTAATCATAATCAATATTTGCAGTCCTCAGCTTGAAAATCTTTCGTAAAAATTGTTGTTGTCGATAAGAAAATTTTCTTTTATATTCATGAAATTTGAATTAATTATTTATAAAATAATCAACATTATCTTTATTTAAAGCAATGTAAAATGGAAATTAGAACCTAATACACAGTAAGTAAGAAATTCAGTGCAATAACAAAATAAACTTTTTAAATTGGGTAAATCCTCTACAATGCAAATCAGCATGCCAACTTGCTGATGGCTGCAGGATGTTTAATTACAATTACACATAGAAGCCTCCATTTCTTAATAAAGGTAACTGGCCTTCTGTATTGTATGATTATCAAAGTTTACATTTATAACTTAATATCCATAAAAATCTTCAAACTAGTTAATTAAAATGGAAAAAATATGCAAAAATTAAAGATATATTAAATTCTATACGGCCCTACGATAATAATATGGACCATATAATGTTGTGGACATAAAGTAAGAAAATATAATTTCTTAATTATATCTGTTTAGGGAAGGCTTCTAAAACTTTCAAATATAAAAATTTCAAACATGTTCATTAACATTACGAAATCGCAAAAATTTTCAAAATGTTATAATGTTTCAAATGATTGAAACAGCATTTGAAATAATATACTATTATTATTGAAATTTCTAATTGACTTATTTTGTACAAACCCCATAGCTTTCACTAAATACAAACATTTCCATCTTATGGGCAAATCTACAATAACGAACAAGTGCATAAATTTTCACCAATGGTTACGGGCCGCCCGCGGCAGTTATTTATAAAGGCCTACGTTCCTTATTTTAAAGGCAACTGGCCTCTTTTAACTGCACTAAAGCATTCCGTTTATAAAAAAAAATTAACCACATTCCTTTATATTAAAAAAAAATTATTTACAAAAAAATAAATAAAAGTGGGAGCCTTTAAAGTTTATCTGAACATATTATAATCCATAAATTTTGCAATTAGTAAACATAATTCCATACAACTCAAGAAAATAATTCAGTTTCTTGAATTACTCATATTTTCATACATTAGTTACACTATCATATCAAAGTATTGACTAATATCTACAATAACACTCAAAAACACTATTTGTTTATTATATTCTATACTAGTTTTTCAAAATTATTTCATTCACTTAAAAACACTTATCAACAATTCAAAATTTTCAACGTAAATTCAAAAATATAATTATTTACCTTACTATCCTTCCCTATAA